TTTTTATTGATGATATCCTCATTTATTCAAAGACTGCAGAAGCTCACGAGAATCATCTTCGCTTGATCCTTCAAACCCTCTGGGAAAAGAAACTGCATGCAAAGCTGAAGAAATGTGAATTCTGGCTACTAGAGGTGGCATTTTTGGGGCATGTGATCACAAAGGAAGGAGTTTCTGTTGATCCACATAAGATTGAGGCGATTGTGAATTGGCCAACTCCCACTAATGTGACTGAAGTGCGTAGTTTTATGGGGTAAGCCGGATATTACAGAAGATTTGTGCAAGATTTTTCTAAAATCGCTATGCCGCTTACACAACTGACTCGAAAGGGAGTTGCATTTGAATGGTCAGAAGAGCGGGAATCTGCTTTCCAGGAATTGAAGACAAAGTTGACTATAGCACTAGTGCTAGCCTTACCATCCGATACTGAAGGATTTGTAATCTACAGTGATGCTTCGCACCAAGGGCTTGGTTGTGTACTTATGCAAAATGGAAGAGTTATTACTTATGCCACTCGGCAGCTGAAACCCCATGAGAATAATTACCCCACGCATGACCTCGAGCTAGCAGCAGTAGTCTTCGCTTTGAAGATATGGAGACACTACTTGTGTGGCACCACCTGCGAAGTGTACACCGACCATAAGAGTCTCAAGTACCTTTTTACTCAGAAAGAGTTGAATATGCGCCGGCGGCGGTGGTTGGAACTTATTAAAGATTATGATTTGCAGATTCTTTACCATCCTGGTAAAGCCAACACAGTTGCAGATGCCCTTAGTCGAAAAAGTATGGGGACTTTGGCAAGCTTGGTTACAGGGCAAATGGAGTTAGCAATTGAATTGGATAAGATGGAAGTAGACCTTGTGCTACAGGACAGGAAGCTACAATAGCAGCAGTGATGGCCCAACCAACCCTACTGGAAGAGATTAAACTACGTCAAATGGAAGATGAAACTTTAAAGAAGATATGTGATGAATTATGAACCAAGCCGAAATCGGGATTCAGTTTGATGAATTCGGTACTCAAATTTCAAAACTGAATATGTGTCCCCAATGTGACAGAGGTTAAACGGAAGTTGATGGAAGAAGCACATGCCTCAAGATTTGTAATGCATCCGGGGAGTACGAAAATGTACCGGGACTTGAGACAAAATTATTGGTGGCCAGGAATGAAAAAGGAAATCGTGGAGTTCGTCTCTAAATGTCTGCAATGTCAACAAGTAAAAGCGGAGCATCAGAAACTGGCAGGTTTATTACAACCCCTCCCAATCCCAGAATGGAAGTGGGAACATTTGACCATGGATTTTGTTGTGGGGTTACCACGGACTCCTCGAGGTATGAATTCTATATGGGTCATTGTAGACCGATTAACTAAGTCCGCTCACTTCCTACCAGTGAAGACTCAGTATAACGCAGATAAACTAGCGGAAATTTATGTGAATGAAATTGTGAGGCTTCATGGTGTTCCGGTCTCAATTGTGTCAGATAGGGATCCAAAGTTTGTTTCCAGATTCTGGCAAAGTTTACAAGAAGCTATGGGTACAGAATTAAAGTTCAGCACAGCTTTCCATCCACAGACTGACGGTCAATCCGAGAGAACGATACAGACGTTAGAAGATATGCTTCGAATGTGTGTGCTAGATTTTCAAGAAAGTTGGGAAACCCATCTACCGTTGGTAGAGTTTGCTTATAATAATAGTTACCATTCGAGTATTGAAATGGCACCCTATGAGGCTTTGTATGGAAGACCGTGTCGTTCTCTTGTGTGTTGGGCTGAAATTGGAGATAAGTCTCTATTTGTGCACAAAATGCATATGTATTGATTGATTCGGGGTCTACACATTCTTATGTATCGCATGCTTTCTCACGGAAATTGAATAGACCCTTAGAACCCATGAACTATCTGTTAGCCGTATCATCACCCGTAGGGGGATCTATGACATGTGCTTATATGTACCCCGCATGTGAAATTATTGTTGGGGATATGCATCTGTTTATTGATTTACTGCCATTGAACATTGATCATTTTGATGTTATATTGGGGATGGACTGGTTAACAAAATATCATGCCACCATAGACTGTGTAACGAAACAAGCAGTTTTCCGTCCACCTGGTTTGCCTGAATTTGTGTTTAATGGGGTTGGAGTAGTACCCCCTCCGTATTTGATTTCATCTGTGAAAGTTGTTAAACTGATTAGAAAGGGATGTAAGGGATATCTGTGTTCTGTATTGACTGTATCTACTGATGATAATGCTAATGTGAACTGTATTCCTATAGTCAGAGAATTCCCAGATGTTTTTCCAGATAATCTTCCAGGAGATTTGACTGACAGGGAGATTGAATTTACTGTTGATGTGATTCCCGGAACACAGCCAGTTTCTAAAGCTCCTCCTATCGTGTTAAGGCTTAGGGGTGTTTTAGAATTCCCCCTTCTGTATTGTCTTACTGTTCTGTATAGACTGAATGTTTACTGTACTGTTATGCAGGGATTGAGTCCCTAGTCTGAATGATTGTAAATATTGTGTATACTGTTC